AGGGTATTCCAAACGCTACGTACACCAATCCAACTAACGTGAACTTTTCGAAATGTGTGCGTTTAGTGGGCAATGGCCCTCCCTTACATCAGAAGCAAACCCCATGTCGATATCTGCGCTCGTTTGGGCACAGGAGTCAGAAGAAACAAAACTACCCCGAAACGTGAGAATCGCTCACTCAAGTTTTCAGCTATTAGGTCATATATTCAAGTTAAGGTGAGGTGTGGGTGAAAATGAAAACTTCCATACCACTTGGCTGAGGTGGTTGAAACTTTAGGGCGTTTAAGTACTAGGTGGGAAACTATTACACACCAAATTTCATCCAAATCTACCCACCCATTTAGCCACAGAAGGATTTTTTCATTGAAATTAAGCGTTTAGTAGAAAAATCAGCCACGGAATGATCTGAAATTTGTTTTGAAGTTACCTAAACCCTCATACTTCAATGTAACGGAGAGATATTTGAATTTTATTATCTCGTTTGGACTGAGCAAACTTCACAATTTTTGGCTGAGCGATAGCGAAGCCTGTTACTCCAGTGGGGTTGAAAAGTTTTTCCTGTCTGTCCGTCTGTCTGTCTGTGTGTCCGCACTACTCCTCCTGCACGGCTCGGCCGATCTCGGTGAGATTTTGCACACTTTTTGGGTATGTCCTTGGCTCGGCACACGCGAAATTTCACCATCCTAGCTCAACTGGTTCAGTTTTTATAGCCGAAAAACACCTAAAAAAAGGCGAAAAATAGAGCTTTCTGCAGATAGATCACACTCTCAGACTCGTATTGACTTTTTTCTCTCCATTATTGACTTTTCATCCTTTGCTTACGTAGATTTTTAAGCAGCAATAATATGTATTATTTCCTTTGTAACCCTGTACAATATTGTTCACTATAAAGACTAAATTGTCATCAATCATTGAATATTTTTTAAGTCAATTGCGTATTGACTCTTTGTCAATAGCAAATTGACTTTAAGTCAATATAACGAATGAAATCCTACATAGATATTGACGAAATAGTACTTTTTATTGCTGTGTAAAATACTCTTTAACAAAGGACAAAAAGTCAATAACAGTCTGAGAGTGCACTTCTGGATTGGAGCAAAGGGGGTCAACACCTCGACAAGTTGAAAAGTGACAAGGGTGAAGATCGTGTTATCTGTAGATAAAACAAACTATTTAGAATGTAGGGGGGTCTGGGGGGCGGAGCCCCCCAGCATTCAACAAGTTAAAAAATAACCGACAATGGACAAGCCATTGCCTGCCGTAGGCAGGCTAGCGCCGCAGGCCAAGGTAGGTACGCCAGGCGTGGATTGGAGGAACAGGCAGCGAGACATCGCGAAGCCTGTTACGACAAGACGCGGTCTGGCGTAAACCTACCTTGTTTAATTGGAAAAAATTAGTTTTTTTCTCAATTTTTTACCACTTAAAGGTAAACAATTCAAGATAGTGGATAGCTATTTAAAATATCTCTCTGTTACATTGTCAGATGGACCACAAAGAACTACTCCAAGAAGTATGGTCAGTATAAAACGAAACTGTATGCGTGGCTAGTTGGCGGAGTAGAAAAAAAATTTCTTCGACACTTGTTGCAAGAGTTGGGTGACCAGAGAAGGCGCATGGATACATCAGTCCATGTTGGATGAACCACTCACTTAGGGGTTCATAACAAAGACCTTTAGGACATGCTGTCGGTAATAGAAGAATATTTTACATTTGTATAACAAGTGCATTAAATTTATCATTTTAATCAATTTTGGTGCAAATTTTCACCCACACCTCACCTTAAGCAGAATGGATTGGATGAACACAGCTTTAGATGCATCGGGAAACAAACTGCACTGTGGCAAAAAGGTACGGAAAATTCTGTTAATTTCTTTGCCAGGATTCTCCGGAGCCCTCTTATCAATATTCTCCGTAGGCTCTTCCAGTATTCTCTGTAAGTCCGCACAGTCTTCTCCGTAGGACCTGGAAGACTGTATAGTTCTACGGAGATCACTGTAAGGTCCTACGGAGAATACTGTAAGAGCCTACGGAGAATATTGATAAGGGGGCTACGGAGAATTACCACAAGCTGTTAACAGAATTTTTCGTAGCTTTTTGCCACAGTGTGACCTGTCTGAAGTGGATGCAGCCGAGGATGGAGGAGAGCTGGAAGCGGAAGATGCGCCATTACTGTGACTCTCCTGAAAGGCAAACCAGGAAAATGGATTACAGCTACAGAAAATCATTTTAAATTTTTAATCTCCTCTCTCACAAAAGAAAGGAACAATAGAAAGATACCTACAAGGTAGGCTTACGCCAGACCGCGTCTTGTAACAGGCTTCGCGATGTCTCGCTGCCTGTTTCTTCAATCCACGCCTGGCGCACCTACCTTGGCCAGCGGCGCTAGCCTGCCTTCGGCAGACAATGGCTCGTCCGTCGTCGATTTTTCTAACTTGTTGCGTGCTGGGGGCTCCGCCCCCCCAGACGCCCCTTTATTCTAGATAGAGTTGCTGAAGCAACTCATCTGATATCATCTGCAGATAATTCGATCTTGACCCTTGTAACTTTTTCACTTGTCTAGGCTGGGGGGTTCAGCCCCCCAGACCCCCCTTTCTTCAAGACAGAAGCGATCTGCCTTTAGACAAGGTAGGTGTACGCCAGACCGTGTTTTGTCGTAACAGGCTTCGCGATGCTGCGCCAGTTACGACAATCCACGCCTGGCGTTACACCTACCTTGGCCTGCGGCGCTTGCCTGCCTGGCTAGGTTTCTTTTCCAGGCAAACGCATACCAATTTGCGTGATTAAAGGTCAAAACAGCATTTGATTTCGTGCCTACGGCTGCATTGGCCTGACTTTTTAACTTGTCGAGGCTGGGGGGTTAGACCCCCCCATTGGCCTGACTTCTTAACTTGTCGAGGCTGGGGGGCCCCACCCCCCAGACCCCCCTTTCTTCACGACAGAAGTGATCTGCCTGCAGAAAACTCGATTTTTCGTCGATTTTTTGGTGTTTTTCGGCTATAAAAACCGAACCAGTTGAGCTAGGATAGTGAAATTTCGCGTGTGCCGAGCCAAGGACGTACCCAAAAAGTGTGCAAAATCTCACCGAGATCGGCCGAGCCTTTCAGGAGGAGTGGCGCGGACACACACACACACGCAGACAGGAAAAATTTTTCAACCCCACCTGAGTAATAGGCTTCGCTATCGCTCAGCCAAAAACTCTATTTTTCGCCGTTTATAAGTGTTTTTCGGCTATAGAAATTAAACCACCTGAGCTAGGATGGTGAAATTTCGCCTGTGCCGAGCCACGGACATACCCAAAAAGTGTGCGAAATCTCACTGAGATCGGCCGAGCCGTTCAGGAGGAGTAGTGCGGACACAAACACAGACAGACAAACAGGAAAAATTTTTCAACCCCACTGGAGTAACAGGCTTCCCTACACTGTGGCAAAAAGGTACGGAAAATCCTGTTAATTTTTTTGCCAGGATTCTCCGTAGCCCTCTTATCAATGTTCTCCGTAGGCTCTTACAGTATTCTCCGTAGGGCCGTGCAGTAATCTCCGTGGGACCGCACAGTCTTCTCCGTAGGGCCTGGAAGACTGTACAGTCCTACGGAGATCACTGTAAGGTCCTACGGAGAATACTGTGCGGTCCTACGGAAAATACTGTAAGAGCCTACGGAGAATACTGACAAGGGGGCTACGGAGAATCAGCACAAGTTGTTTACAGAATTTTCCGTAGCTTTTTGCCACAGTGTATCGCTTAGCCAATCATTTTTTACCTTTATGTTCCTTCATTGTTCCCTTTTTAATGTTCATTAAATCGCTTATTTGCCCTTATTCTTTTCGTCCTGCATGTGACACTACTCGACATACTCCTCTGGCATCCGTATGTCCATTCTCATTGTGAACTATTACAAGGCAGGTTTACGCCAGACCGCGTCTTGTCGTAACAGGCTTCGCGATGTCTCGCTGCCTGTTCCTCCAATCCGCGCCTGGCGTACCTACCTTGGCCTGCGGCGCTAGCCTGCCTTCGGCAGGCAATGGCTTGTCCATCGTCGGTTACTTCTAACTTGGTGCATGCTGGGGAGCTCCGCCCCCAGACCCCCCTTCATTCTAGATCCCTTGTAACTTTTTAACTTGTCGGAGCCCCTTCTTCAAGACAGAAGCGATCTGCCTACAGAAAACTCGATTTTCCGCCGTTTTTTAAGTGTTTTTTCGGCTATAAAAACCAAACCAGTTGAGCTAGGACGGTGAAATTTCGCGTGTGCCGAGCCAAGGACATACCCAAAAAGTGTGCTAAATCTCACCGAGATCGGCCGAGCCGTTCAGGAGGAGTAGTGCGGACACACACACACACAGACGGACAGACAGGAAAAACTTTTCAACCCCACTGGAGTAACCTAACCCCACTGGAGTAACAGGCTTCGCTATCGCTCAGCCAATGATGACACGTGTGCTGCTTCAGAAGAATATAATTTTGTACATTTTAGTTCTTTAAGTGGTTTCCCTTTTTTATGTTCTTTATCGTTTGATGATGCCGACAAAATAACATTAGAAATTATACATTTCAAATTTTTCCCAAGCTTACCTGCTTTCTACCTGATTTGAATTTATTTTTCTTTTCTCTTTTTTTTGGAGGGGGAGGGGGCGGTGGCCCCTAGAAGACCCCGCCACCAGGGCCCTTTTGGTCCCAGTCCGCCCCTGTTCGCCAGGAGTTTTCTCGAAGTTGAAAGATGTGTCATAATCAGCAGAGCCGCCCGCTGCGCCTGCCTCGTCCGGCAAGAGACGAATCAATTCTTCCTGTTTGAGAACGTCAACGGCAGCAGGGTTCTTGCCAAAGACCAAATAAAAAGGCTTCCGAGGAGCCATGGTTGAAGAAAGGTTGACAATGAGACTGCCATCGGCGGACACTTCGTCAAAAGTTGTCAATGACAAATCAGCTGTTCTCTGGACTTAAGAAATACCCAGAAGTAAAAAGAAGTAGTGAATTAAAGGATATTTGGCGTGAAACGGTGGCAATACTAAACTTCGTGATGACGCCATGATCGTCGTCTTTCTCTAACAGATCCAGAATTGGGTCTGGAGGTGGAGGGGGCGTGTACTCTGTGAGCACCGCCAGCGCCGCGGCAGCCACCTCTGTCTCGTTCTGGGTGACATCACGTGATGGTATCATTCCCCATAGCGCCGGATTGGATTCGATAGCCTCTTCGTGGCTGTCAATGTGTGGTGTGGGAAGAACCAGGGGCTCGACCCCAGCAAATTTCTTTGGGGCTGCCTGAAACTCTTCTGTATCATCCTCGTCCTCTGATCCCTCCTCCCCGGCGTCATCCTGAAATTGGATCGGGCCGGACCCGGAGCGTACGAGCTCTTCGTATGCCGCCAGAACCAACTCGTCGGTGTGGCGGCAGCAATTCCCCTACACCTCCGGCGTAATAGAATCACAGGCCTCCCGCCACGCTTGCTCAGCAATCGCCGCTCGGCCTGGCCTATCTCGAGGTACAGTTACTGCCATTATCCGTATTTGAAAGCCAACAGTTGGAATAAATTAGAACTCTGTTCATAAATTTTCTCAATAAGCTTAACGGTTTTATATAGGCAGCTACCTTGCCACGTCCATTTTTTTCTTGCCACAGAAATGCTGTGCGAGGCATTTTGACATTATTGTTGTTATAAATATTATCAATGGACAAGACTTCAGGGAACTCCTTGAAATCCGATTGCATCTCTGATGATGCCCAAAATATGTAAGAAACAACTCCATTTTCTTCAGTGCCAACGATCACCTTTGCACCAGGGTCACTAACCTTCAGATCTTCTAGCTGATCCAGGAAGCGGAAAAAGGGGATAACTCAATTTTGGCCATTTTCCAGCAGAAACCAAAAACTGTTAGCAGGGAAAACTAAAACAAAACAAATGAATGTGCAGATGTTATTAATTTCAAAAAGCTTAAGTAAAATTTTGGAAAAAAAATATGAAAAGTGCAACGTCACTCCGTAGAGGATTTCTGCGACTTAACACTTTCCGTTGAAATGGAAAACAGAGTCAGCTCACCTTATATTTCCTAAACAAAGAGGAATCTGGAGACAAGTGGAACAATAGTCTGCATAAAGTGTATGTTACTCTGGCGTATTTTTTGGAATTGGCTCTTTTTTCCAAATTGAAATTTAAAATTGAGGGGGGGGGGTAAGGTGAGTTGATTCTTTTTAAACTAGATTCATAAAAATCCAAGTTGAGTTTTGCCCATTTGTCATGTGGACTTCGGTTGAGTTATCTCCATTTTCCAATGAAATTTAGACCGTAAAAGGGGTTAAGTTGAGTTATACCCTTTTTCATGTGGATTTTCTTCTAAGCGGCTTGGAATTCAGTCAAATAACTTAGTGTAATGATGAAAACCGTTCTAAGGCACAATAATGTAATAACAACTCAATTTGGGGATAAGTCAGGCTATTCCCTTCTTCCGCTTCCAGGATCAGTTCATCGAGAAACTCTCCAGCACCATCTGTTGTTTCATAAGTCTCACTTCGATTGCTTTTTTCTGGAGCCTTGTCATGGCGTTGCCTGTACAATTCAATAAAATATCATAACAAAATAAGAAATGCCACATGAAACCGAGAGTATCCGACCAATATCCCAAAGTTAATTGGCTGAGCGATAGCGAAGCCTGTTACTCCAGTGGGGTTGAAAAGTTTTGTCTGTCTGTCTGTCTGTGTGTCCGCACTGCTCCTCCTGAACGGCTCGGCCGATCTCGGTGAGATTTTGGACACTTCTTGGGTATGTCCTTGGCTCGGCACACGCGAAATTTCACCATCCTAGCTCAACTGGTTCAGTTTTTATAGGCGAAAAACACCTAAAAAACGGCGAAAAATAGAGATTTCTGCAGATAGACTACTTCTGTCTTGGAGAAAGAGGGGTCTGGGGGGCGGAGCCCCCCAGCTACGACAAGTTAAAAAGTGACAAGGGTCAAGATCGTGTTATCTGTAGATAAAACAACTCTATTTAGAATGTAGGGGGGGTCTGGGGGGCGGAGCCCCCCAGCATTCAACAAGTTAAAAAATAACCGACAACGGACAAGCCATTGCCTGCCGCAGGCAGGCTAGCGCCGCAGGCCAAGGTAGGTACGCCAGGCGTGGATTGGAGGAGCAGGCAGCGAGACATCGCGAAGCCTGTTACGACAAGACGCGGTCTGGCGTAAACCTACCTTGTGTTAAGAACTGAGACAGATTCGTACCTAAATAGATAGACAAAGTAGGTTTACGCCAGACCGCGTCTTGTCGTAACAGGCTTCGCGATGTCTCGCTGCCTGTTCCTCCAATCCGCGCCTGGCGTACCTGCCTTGGCCTGCGGCGCTAGCCTGCCTTCGGCAGGCAATGGCTTGTCCATCGTCGGTTACTTCTAACTTGATGCAGGCTGGGGGGGTCCGCCCCCCAGACCCCCCTTCATTCTAGATCCCTTGTAACTTTTTAACTTGTCGGGGCTGGGGGGCTCCGCCCCCAGACCCCCCTTCTTCAAGACAAAAGTGATCTGCCTGCAGAAAACTCGATTTTTCGCCGTTTTTTAGGTGTTTTTCGGCTATAAAAACTGAACCAGTTGAGCTAGGATAGTGAAATTCCGCGTGTGGCGAGCCAAGGACATGCCCAAAAAGTGTGCAAAATCTCACCGAGATCGGCCGAGCCGTTCAGGAGGAGTAGTGCGGACACACACACACACAGACGGACAGACAGACAGACAGGAAAAACTTTTCAACCCCAATGGAGTAACAGGCTTCGCTATCGCTCAGCCAATAAATAGATGCACTTACTTTGCATCTGTCAGATCTTGGGTCTTTGGACATTGAGAGGTAGAACTGCGCACCACATTCTGCAAAATTGCGGGTTGAACTTTAAAATCAAAGAGGTTGACTACTTGTTTCCCCTCTTCCTTAGAAAGTCGCCTGTTTTCAGGATAACTATCGGAGACGTTTTTGTCGATGTCATGATTGTGTTCAGTGCAGATTTTGGTCACATGCAGCCTCTTAGTGCGTTCGTCATATGTCAGGCGAACCCTTGCTGGGCATTTCATTATAAATGAACCACTGATTAAAAATACATAAATGGTAGTAAGTTACTAGGTAGGTTTACGCCAGACCGCGTCTTGTCGTAACAGGCTTCGCGATGTCTCGTGGCCTGTTCCTCCAATCCGCGCCTGGCGTACCTACCTTGGCCTGCGGCGCTAGCCTGCCTTCGGCAGGCATTGGCTTGTCCATCGTCGTATACTTCTTACATGTTGCGTGCTGGGGGCTCCGCCCCCAAGATCCCCCTTAATTCTAGATAGAGTTTTTTCATCTACAGATAACATGATCTTGACCGTTGTCACTTTCTAACTTGTCGAGGCTGGGGGGCTCCGCCCCCCAGACCCCCTTTCTTCAAGACAGAGGTGATCTACCTGCAGAAAACTCGAATTTTTGCCGTTTTTAGGTGTTTTTCGGCTATAAAAACTGAACCAGTTGAGCTAGGATAGTGAAATTTCGCGTGTGCCGAGCCAAGAACATACCTAATAAGCCTGCGAAATCTCAGCCAGATCGGCTGAGCCGTTCAGGAGGAGTAGTGTACAGACACACACACACACAGACAGACAAAACTTTTCAACCGCACTGGAGTAACGGGCTTCGCTATCGCTCAGCCAACAAATAGTGAAAAAACACCTTATTAAAAGAATTTCACAAGCCTTGGGTTTGGCCGTTGGCCTGTGCTGTTGCTTCGGACTGGATCAAGACCGTCTTGCCATCGCCACCCACCCCACCCTCCCATACTGATCTTTCTTTTCTTTGATATAATTTTGAGCCACGAATTAAAATACAAGGTAGGTTTACGCCAGACCGCGTCTTGTCGTAACAGGCTTCGCGATGTCTCGCTGCCTGTTTCTCCAATCCGCGCCTGGCGTACCTACCTTGGCGCGGCGCTAGCCTGCCTTCGGCAGGCAATGGCTTCTCCATCGTCGATTTTCCTAACGTTTTGCGTGCTGGGGGGCTCTGCCCCCCAGACCCCCCTTCATTTTAGATAGAGTTGCTTCATCTGCAGATAACGCGATCTTGACCCTTGTAGCTTTTTCACTTGTCCTGGCTCCGCCCCCCAGACCCCTCTTTCTCCAAGACAAAGGCGATCTGCCTACAGAAAAACTCGATTTTTCGCCGTTTTTTAAGTGTTTTTCGGCTATAACAAGCTAGGGCCCGCCCTTCCGTCGAACCGAGTTGACAGCTCCGCTTCGCTGTGCCGGCAACTCGGTTCGTCAGGGGGCCGGCCCAGCTTGGCCTGCCGGCGGCCTTTTCTCGGGCCTTCGGCCCTCGCATCAGACCCAACTTGGCCAGTCGAAGGCCCGGTCCTTCGGCCCGCTCGCATCACACACACCGTGAGCGGGTAAAGCAAAGTTATCGATGTACCATCGTGACTTAGGCCCGCCCTTCTATTCACAATATGCAATAGTCCTTACACTTTTTACTCCAACTGTCCTTAGAATATGCCCATTTCATTTGTCTCTTCGCCCTCATTCCGAAAATACCCATAATTGCCATGCTACTGCAACTCCTTGCAATAGAGGCACAGCAGGAGCGCAAAACGAGTCCGTCGCACTTTTTCCCATAACTCATGAAGGCGGGCTCCTGGACCCCCCTTCCGACCCCTCGTTGAAGAGGTCTTGCCAAGACCTATCGAAAACTTAAGTAAAAATTTTCAGTCGGTCGACCCCCTTTTTTCAAGATCCTGATGTGACTAATAGACGAAGTCGGGCTCCTGGACCCCCTTTCCGACCCCTCGTTGAAAAGGTCTTGCTGAGACCAATCGAAATCTGCAATAATTTTTTTTTTAGTCGGTCGACCCCCTTTTTTGAAGATCCTGATGTGACTAATAGACGAAGTCGGGCTCCTGGACCCCCTTTCTGACCCTCGTTGAAAAGGTTTTGCTGAGACCAATCGAAATCTGCAATAAATTTTTTTAGTCGGTCGACCCCTTTTTTGAAGATCCTGATCTGGCCAACTTGTAAAAGCGGCCGATGGGGTCGGGACCAGGTCCATTCATCTTGTCTCGTCGCCCCGATTCCAAAAATACCCCTATGTGCCCTGCTAGCACTAATAATGGCGGAAATCCCCCTCCCGGTCATGTAAACCATGATGCACCTGCAGCAGCCCTTGTGCGACCCGGACGGGATTTGCACCACCGGATTATTTGTTTGGACGGTACTCCTGAAGTACCCTCCAAATCTGGTTACTCTAGCTCAACTCCTTCCTTGTACACAGACGCCAACAACAACAACACACGGACACAAAGGCAAATGCATGGGCCCTCCCCCTATTTTTTGAATAGAAGGGCGGGCCAAAAACCAAACCAGTTGAGCTAGGATGGTGAAATTTCGCGTGGGCCAAGCCAAGGACATACATAATAAGCCTGCAAAATCTCAGCCAGATCGGCCGAGCCGTTCAGGAGGAGTAGTGTACACACACAGACACACAGACAGACAGGAAAAATTTTTCAACCCCACTGGAGTAACAGGCTTCGCTATCGCTCAGCCAATCAAACGAATACATAGGTTACTTTTCTCAAAACGATCGTTTTTCAAAACCTTTGCATTTTCACTGGTGTACCCCCTTAATGAGTGTCCCCAAAGCCACCATCAAGTTTCCTACATGATTCTGATAACATTGCATGAATTTTGCAACCGCCATCTTTTCTCATCCTTACATTTGAATTGCAAGTTATGTTAAAGTGACCTGAGCCAACAACAAAAAGACAGCGCGTGGCATTAGATACCGGCTTCACAGGAACAGAACATTCATCGTAAGTACTCCAGAGCCCTCCATTGGGAAACAACCGTCTCTTGTGTAGATAAGAGAAGGTACCAGTTTCAATGTTGCCTTTAAAGAGTGTGGCACCCAACTTCTGGGAACCAGTCACAGACGACCGACTTCTCTGCGGCATCCACTAGCCATGGCTTCCAAGTACTCGATGCTCTTGCTGGCCATCAGCGCCTCCTGCCTCGTAAGTTGTGCTAGTTTCGGCTTGGAACGTGTGTGTTCCACACGCATTAAAGGCCCAAGAATCATTTGCCTCATAACTTGAAAGAAAATGAAGGCATTGTAGAATTGAATCGTGTTGTGAAGATATGCTTCTTATTGTGAAGGATTTTACTACATTTAACAAGCATTTCTTTGTTGATTTCACTGAGATTCCAAACGCTATGAGTATAGCACGTATGGTGCAATGCGCTGTGATATCGCACCATACGTGCAGTGCCACAGCCATATTGCACCTTTGGTGCAATGCTTCCCGAAAAGTCCCTATGCTAATGCATGGGAATTTGGAGGCATTGCACTTCATGTGCAATGCTTCTGTATTGCACCAATTGACGCTATACTCATAGCGTTTGGATTCTCAGTGTTTACAGCGCTTTTCCAAGTTTCGTATGCAGCCTCCTTGGGTTACGCAGAATTTTGCTCCATAATAAGAAGCAATTCTTCACAGATTTTACGATGCATTCATTTTCTTCAAATTACGAGGCGATTCCTCGTAAACATAATTTTCTGTAAACTGAATGGTTTGGAGGCTGGGACCGAAAGCTGCACGAATGACTTGTGTAAATCTGCTCAGAGGTCAGAAAACTGTCCACAAACCTGATCAAAACTCACGCACCTCTGAAAGCTGAAAACTTACTCTTGCATTCTGAAGATCTCATGCCTTCACCTGATAAGTTTTCGCAATTTCAGCTTTCAGAGGTGCGCGAACACAATATTCACACGAATGAAATGCCTGACACGTACACATCGGACAAAATAAATTCGAGGAAAGTGGTCCATTATTGGGGACACACTGACTGCGCCCGCCCACCAATCGACTGGGAATGTGACCGTAAAAGCGGTTTCCAGTTACTGAACAAATCTGGCACATCTTCCTGTCTTTGCCACCACTAATGCTTGTCATAATTTACAGATGGCCGCTGTTTCGGCGGTTGCGATTGAGAAGAAGGTACGTTATAATACGAAACCGGAATAATTAGCAACAGAAATGAGATCAGTATGTCATTCGCCGCACAGTATAAACTCTACGAAGAATCGCTTTGTAATGCAATGAAAATAAAGGCATTGAAAAATCTTCAAAGAAATTCTTCGCATTTCGGAGCAAAATAATTTGTGATAGGGAGCATTGTTTCATAATATGGAGCAACTCTGCGATGCCTTCATTTTCTGCGTAGTTATGAAGCAAACGCTTCGTAGGCTGAGTGCCCATTTCCGAGGGGTCCCTCACCTCGTCTAGTCAGTGTACACCCCCGACTCTAGTCACTGCCTTTGTCTCGTCCCTTAAAAAGACGGCACAACAACGTATCTTTGCCCTATTTGCAGCAAATTTGTGTCGCATTTCATTAAATTTTCCATCTAATCAAAGTGGAAATTCACTCTAGTCACCAGTCAGTGTACACCCATTTTCGAAGTGAGGTACCCCTCGCCCATTTCGGAACGAACGACTCCGGTGCGTGACAGACTTGACCACAGAACCCACCTCTTGAGGAATATCTTTTTCACCAATTCACCTGTTTTCCTGTTGTTCACAGGTTGCCGCTGAAGGGTCCTGCAGCAAAACTTCGTTGGACAATCTCGAAGCCACGATCGAGCTCTGCGCTCGAAACGTGGAGGTCGAGCAGTTCGCTGATCCTTCTTGGGAGTGTGCCCGCACCGTCTCCGGCTACCTGGAGGACGCCGACGAGTGCGACTGGAGCGTCGTTCCCGACTATCTGGAAGACTGCCTGTCTGGCTTCGGCTTCGTCGACGATGCCGACATCAAGCCGGCTGTGAACTGCATCAAGCTCGCCATCAAGTCAGAAATCTGCTGTTAGACATAGAAGCAGCACAACGTGCCTTTTTACTGGCAGTCATTATGAATGAAACATTCTTGAAGTCAGTTGTGTTTATGCTTTACCCTCAATGTCTTACGGTGAAAATACTATGCCCATATAACATATTATAGAGGAGATTTTCTCTGAAGCACCCTAGAAATTCGACAAAATAGCAGGGTTGGGGGATCCATGGCCACTTGAGATTTATGACCACTGGCGTACCATAATGCCTGGACCTTTTCAACGAGTGGCCGTTGCGGAGTCCTTGAGTCCGCAGGAGTCAAGGGAATCCATGTCACGGACTGGTTTTGCGCCACTGCAGACCCTCCCTTGCTTATGAATAGGGGGAGGTTGGGTAAGAAAAGTACACTAGAGACTCGGGTAAGAAAAGAACACTCGTTATATCTCCGAACTGAAACTACACTGAACCATAACGTTAGTGGTTTTGGAAAGAGTGGTCATCCCGCTGACAAAAAATAAATTTAGCCCAGTTCTACATATAATAGTTAGAATCAAACTGCACGTTTGAAAAAAACATTAAAAATAACTATGAAAATATATTTTTTTTATGTTTGTACTTTGAAGTACAGCTTCCTGCAGAATCAGCCGACAGTCCAATGTAAGGTGCCACCTTTTAGCTTAGACCATCATCTTTGAAAAAACAGTGCCGTTCGATGCTCTTAGGCTTCAACACAATTTTATTTAAGTGTGAAAATGAAATGGGCAAGAAAAGTACAGTCGGCTGGGGAAGAAAAGTACAGGCATTTGGGAAAAAAAGAACACCCTCTTACACTGAGAATGAATTGGTCACCACCATCACCCTTTCAATGGGTGATGCAACTTCGTTGCCCAAATTTTGGTGACGAAAAATTCATCACCCGAAATTTGGTAACAGGCGTTTGGTCACCCAAATTTGGGTAACGCCGTCGGCGACGCTGTGAGGTTATCGATGGCGTCCTTCCGGGGCCACCACGATGACCGGAGGCCTCAACACCACATTGGGTCATCGTGGTGGCCTCGGAAGAGCGTCATCGGGGACCTTACGGCGTCGCCGACGGCGTTACCCAAATTTGGGCGACGATTTTATGACTGCCCAAAATTTGGTCACCGCGGGCTCGTCACCCAAATTTGGGCAACGGTGCGTGCGTTACCCAATGAAAGGGCGATGGTGGTGACTCTTTCATTCTCAGTGTAGAAACTAAAAGTGGGATGAAAAATGAATTGATCACGGAAATAGATTTGGTTAGGCGCGACAAGCAAAACATGCCAACACACGTTATAGAATTAGACTCGAAATAAACAAGTTATTGGGCATTTACGTGAAAAGGGGAAGAAAAGTACAAAAATGCTGTACTCACTTATCTCTGAGAAAAGGCTTCTTGGACCTTCTGTGATGACTCCATGTAGAATCAGAACCAATTGACCGATTTCGACGAAACTTGAACTAATGGCAAGTGAAAGCTCTCCATTTTAGGGGTAAACCTGTATTGAGCCAAGATTGGCGGTCTCCTGGTTCGAAATCGCAATTATTTTCGTTGTACTTTTCTTTCCCGGTGGTGTACTTTTCTTAGCCTTTTCAAGGAATTCCGAAATCACTTACATTTCAGCATGTTGTACGTAATGTGGGGAACTATAATCAATGAGCATTGATCCATTTCATTAGGAAGGCATTAGATTACAAGTTCACGAGAGCAGAATAGTTGAATCCTCATTTGGAACTTCTGTACAGTGCAAAGTACGCGTTTTGTACTTTTCTTCCCCAACCTACCCCTAGTGGGAGCAAGACAAATTTGGATCTTTATGGAATCCTGAGAAAAGTAATGGTCTTTGTTGGCTGAGCGATAGAAGCCCATGCCGGGTTTTGGCGCACCAAAAAGTGACTGGTCGTGCGTCTGTCTGTCTGTAACTCACGTTTCGCAGCAACCACAGCACAAAGTTTCAAAATTTCGCACCGAAAGGCTCCTAAATCTCCCCCACGGGGCGTTTATCTCAGATTAACAATTAAGAGCGTTTGAAATATTCAAAACGTCGCTTTGAATTAGGGTAATTAGCTAGGTTAGGTTGGTAGCAGCGAGTGGCTGACCAATTTCTCATACCGGCTACCGCGCTTGCAAGCGGTCTACAAAACAGGACGGCACTTCTGCAAATAAACAAATTAAAGAGCAAAGGGGTTCTCTAGTAGGCTCTGGTATATTTTGTTAACATACTAGAATGATTGAAACCCTTAAGGAGTGTCAACAGAAAAATACGAAAAATGAAAGTGAGAATGTTTTGCGTGTTTCATTCCCCTCTCCCCCCTTCCCTGTCACAGGGAAATCTTCCTTCAGGTCAGTGCACTGTGAGTGTAGTTGTGGGTTGTATGTAAATAGAATGTTTTCTTTGCCTTTTGACTTGTGTGCATCATCTGACTTTATTTCCTCTGGTAGGGAGAGAGGGGCGATTCGCAACAGGGGCGATTCGTTGCTGAGCGAAGCGAAGCACCCTGTTGGGGAATTTAAACGTTCGAATTGTCCCCCCCTTCCCCTCCGGATACCTTTAGTTTACCATAGGTATCTTATTATTGATCTTAATCTTATACCTATATATGTAAACATATGTAGGTCAATAATAATTTTCAATATAATCACTTCCTAATTTACTGCTGATGAAAATGCATTTCCATCTCCCGCAAAATCCAGCTCAGCAGCGAGGCCGAAGGCCTTCCGCTGGCTAGTAACAAATGTGTTTCGCGGCCTTTCGTTAACAGCGTGGACACTCCAATGGCGATAAGAAACCATCCTCCCTGTTCTCTCAAGTGCCTACATCCGCGCAATGTCAACGCGATCTTCAGTGAATTGTCCTCTGAAGTGGTCTACTTTGCGTCATGACTCCTGGAAGGGACTGCGGCTCGATTCAAAGAATGTGAAGCTGCAGAAAAGCGCTTTGTACACTGCGATTCCAAAACAGAAAGCCCGTAGGTGGAATGCATTGAGATAAAGCACCATGTGCAATACTGTAGTCACATTGCACCTTACGTGCTATGCCTTCCGTAAATGCCCTGTACTAACAAGGTAGCTGTACGCCGGACCTTTTCTCGTCGTAACTGGCTTCGCAATGCTGCGCCAGTGACGCAATCCACGCACACTTATCATCTTACGATGGTAACGCGAACGTAACATACGCTGAAATCAAAACATGCGTATTACGCTGAAATGTCATCGTACTACAATCGCAACCAACGTACCTTACGTTCAGAACGTGCGTAATACGTTGAAAATCCTGCGTACCTTACGTTGACATTCGTGCGTATTATGCAGGTTGGAAATTGGTCGTACCTTACGATGGAAAATCATCGTATTACGCACGAAAACCAACGTAAGATGATAAGCGTGCGGGTTCCGGACAATTCGTCCCCGAAAATTCGTTCCAAGGACTTTTGGGTCCGCAAACGATTCGCCCCCGGTAAAATTGGTCCCCAAACGTGTCCCCGGTTTTAGAATGGTCCCAGCCGGGACGGTCCCCATGTCGGACCAAGACATTACCACGAATGTGACGCATGATATCTCTTGATTTGTGTCGTGTCACATCCAAACAAATGTGACACACGTTCGTTCCAATGTGACATGCCCGAATTGTCACATTCAATCGAACGTGACACCCCATAATCCACCGATCATGGCGTGTCACATTCAAAAGAACATGAAAAATTGAGCATGTCACATTACGATTACAACAAATGTCACAGTACTACGTGGGTGTCACATTCGTTTTAATTTGACAGTTCTCCAGCTGATTTCACACCCGGAGTAATGTGACAAAGCGGTGCCGTATGACACATTCGTTCGTCTGTAAATTTTCGCCGTTTGTCACGCCTAAACTAACATCGCCGTTATCACGTTAATATACGAACGTGCCGTCACGTTCGTTGGCTACTAGTGTATAGGAGTGTTAGTGTTGTAGATCGCTACGACACTTACCACGAGGCAGACGACATCCTGTGCTACCTGCGCGCCGTCGGCCACAACGTGACGGAGAATATATAAAAGTCTTTGGCTGCACCTTTTCTTTCTTAAGTTTTGAAGTAAAAAAATGAAATTCTGAAAAACATTATTTAGGGGCAAATTGTCTAGGGACCAGTCATATTTGGGGACGAACAGTGTGGGGTACCTATTGTCCCGGGGACGAAATGGGGGGTACGAATAGTCCGGGGACCAATTTTCGGGGACGAATTGTCCTAGACCCCAATCCACGCCTAGCGTTACCTTGACCTGCGGCGCTTCCTGTTTGCCTTCGGCAAGCCGTCACTGAAATTCATGTTGAAGCAATGATGACAGCACTCCGTGGTGCAGCATTCAAAGAGGGTTCATGATCGAAAATGCCCATATTTGTCTTGCAACTGAAGCTCATTGCAATCGAAGCCCAGCAGAAGCGCAAAACGAGTCCGTGGCACCGATTGCCACAATTCAAGTAGTCGGGCTCCTGGACCCCCTTCCGACCCTCGTTCTGAAGGTCGTGGCGAGTATCTGAAACCGCAATGAAATTTTGCAGTCGGTCGATCCTCTTTTTTCAAGATCCTGATCTGGTGAACTCGAGGAAGCGGTCGACTCTGTCGAAACCAGGTTTGTTGAATTTGTCTGGTCGCCCTAATTCCACACTCTAAGGTTCTTACGGATGACTTCATCCGTATTACAAAGAATTGCATCCGTACCTTACAACCCAGGGGACAGAAAGTTGTCATATTGACGTCAAGTGACTTGAAAATGACAAAAATCTGTCACGATCCGGAATCGTGATCACAGATGACGTTAATTTGACGCAGGGTTATTTCGCCGACAAAATCGACCTGACCTCCGATAGTGTTGTAAAAGTTGGTGCACCGATAATTAAGATAAGAAAATGTTGTTAACGGATCTCGGAAGTGGACGGAGTCAAGGTGTCGTCCGCGTGATGTCATCGAGACGTACATGTACACTAGCGCTGCGTGCGGTCAGACTAGAAACGTTATTTCGTAATTCGCGCGTCTTTTTTGGCCGGTTTCAACAAATGTGCAGATGTTCCAACGTATTTCTTTTCCTCATTGATAATT